AAGTTGTTGGGAGATGACAAGTGATAAGATGAGATACACAAGCAGTATTCAAGACCTAGACTATTGATCCTCTATATGGTCCACTGGGAAGACAACATAACACAAACTTACCTCTTTATACAAAATTAGCCCACAGGTGGCAATATTTCACACAACCTGACAGAACTTTGGCACACAGTACAGCATGGCTGTTAGGAAACATTAAGTACCAAAAATTTCTTTAATATATTACGTATTTTATGTGCAGTGTATTTTAATGGACTGTTTGATCCTAACTATGCATGTTTGTGTTTTTTTTGAATAATTTATTCTTAAAAGAAACTTTTTGGGCAAGTTGTAAAGGGTACATGTGCATTACACAGTCCAATATGCTCATGTAATTCAACTATTAAACTACCATCTGTATAACTCGACCAGCGACCAGCCATTTCTGATCCCCACCCCCCCCCCCCCCCCCCCACCCCAAATGTTTAACATCCACATTTGACAAAATTTAGTGACCATTTTTGAGGTAATAAGTACACCTGCAGGTTTTCATGCAGAAAATTGTGCCTTTGTAGATGTTCACGTTAGCAATCTCCTGCGAAATCAAAAAAGAATGTCAGACAGCTGTGCACTTAATATGTTTACGTTAACATGCATAACGTTTCCAATTCCTCATCAATATAAAAATGCTATATAAATACATTCTTGACCTGTACATCAACAAGTACTAATGACAATTAAATCAGTCCCCTTTTTGGCAACATGCTGTCAGCTTTATGTAGGTCAAATTTTAACTGGACTCTTGTTCATTCCAGTTTCCATTGTAAAATTTAACAAAAAATACATGTTAGCCAATAACAACAGACTTGACAAAACCCATGACAACAGGAAATACAACATTTCCTTCAGGTTGGCAAGTATGGATTGTGAAAAGATTCATGTAGCACAACCAAATAGTGTTTCTATGTGACGTTTCGATGACTAGTACGGTATGTACTCTGCCACCTTCATCAGACAAATGACCAGTGAAGCACATGTACACAAAGGTGTAAAATATGTACAAGTTAAACAATGTTGACTTAGCTATGCTGTAAGCATATGTACAATTAGTTGTTATATATGTACCAAAATGACTCAATTCAGCTACGCTTTGTTTAATAATTGGTCATACGTATGGGAGATCGAGTCTGAGTTGCAGTGGGCCAGTTCTAAGTCGAGATGAGCGGGCTCATAGCTTAAATTATGGTAACTACATAAAGTGCAGTCGTCTATGTTAAGAAGCTCACTGGATTCAAATAGACACATACGTTGTTTTTTTTATATATATATTTAGATATTTTGTACACAAACTTTTTACCTCAAAGTTTTCAAGTATGATCCTTAAAAATATTAAAATAAAACTTCTTGATTTAAAAATCTATTAAATCTTATCAGGTGACATAAAAAAATTCTAACCAAATAACACCAAGAGGATTTCCAGAGCAGATCTTGTTACAAGTGTTTTCAGAAATAATTTATCAAAGCTATGGTCATGTTGGAAAAAGTTTACAAAACTTATAGTTACAGTATTCTGGCAGTGCCAACTGTATGTAATCTGGACATTTGATTATGAACATAATGATTACATATTTCATACTTATCAGATAAGTATGAGATATGTAATCATACTGTTCATTACATGGATGGCAAAAGAGCTGCCCCTCTCTCCAAATTGCAGGTAAAATAAAAAGCCTAAAGAAAAATGATAAAAATAATAAAGTTAAAAAAAAGGCAAATGAAAACATATATTGACTTTCATTTTACAAATTGGTAAGTTGATCTGCTGTAATTTAGAAACTTTCAAGACAGCATTTATTATCAAGACTGTATTGATTTGTATAATTTATCATACCAACAATCAAGTCTTCAAAACATCTTTGTAGCCCAACAATTACTTGCCCATGAAGACTTCTTGGATATTCTAGGATAGAGTACCTCGTACACTTCTGAAAAGCAAACCCGTCCAAGCTATATTGGTATGCAATATGTGTATCAAGTTTGAGTTATCGCACGGAAACCTTGTTTCGGACGACGCAACTGATGCTGCCACCAACAAAGTAATACCTATGCAGGCGACACAAAGTAATACCTATGCAGGCGACACAAAGTAATACCTATGCAGGCGACACAAAGTAATACCTATGCAGGCGACACAAAAAGTATTTAATTAACTTCTAAACAAACAAGAAACTTAGGTGAAAACATTTGGCCAGCAACATGCTTGGCGATCAAATTTGTTCAATTTGATGACCTTGACTTAATTTCAAAATTGTAAGGGTCAGATCTGACCTTACTCTGAACTATCTCATTGTATAAGAAGAGAAGACATTTAAGTCAGTATGCTCAAATTATCCCTGCTTGGCCACCTGTAGGATCAGCCCCATCATTTTTACAATTATAATCCCAACCATCTAGCGATATTTCTACTCAAATTTGGTTAAATTCCAATATGCAAATTAGATGAAAAGGGTGTTTGAAGACCTTGTTGACAGAAAGAAGTTGGTGCCACTATATCCCCATGCAGATCGTCAGCTGGTGTTGGTAGCAGGGCAATGGGGGAAAGGAGTAAAAGGAGTTAACATGTTAAATTACATGTGTTAAAACAAACTTAATAGCATGCAATTATGTATTATAATAATCATAATAATTGGAGGTTCTTATACAGTCGAACCTCGTTATCTCGAACTATTTTAACATGAAGACCCTATTGGTTTTGAAGCATCTCTCCAGTCCCGGCCAAATATGTTCTTTTATCTTAGTAAATAAAACTCTGATAATTCGAACCCTGAAAACTCGAAAAACTCAGATACCTCGAAGCAAGATATTGGTTTCAATAGCGTAAATACTGAAATAATGTTCGAATTTCATTTCGTCAATTATTTATCCTTTGATACAAATAAAATGCAAAGCTACAGAATTTCGCCATTCCATGTTTATGAACATCTTTCGTGAGTGAACTAACATGAAATAGGTAAAAATAATTTAGGATAAAGCTTCAGACTGTAAAGTGTGCGGACTGTCACAACCAAGTTGTTCATAAAACAAACTTCATCAATGTTGATCAACAGTATTCTGTACTTACTGCGATTTCATTTAATGATTTGTACACCCAAACAGACGACAGTGTAAACCGAAAAATTGGTCACAAAGCGTGGTCATGCATAAAAGAGTTCCAGTTAAAATCACAACATAGGACAGCTTTACGGGTTCGTGTTTTTTTTCAGTAGCCAGTATGGCTTTGAAAATCAATCGAGGGATTTGAACAATACGATAATTGCTTTTGATTACATCGAGTTGAGGAGGTGTCATATTTGGCTTTTATGAATCAATGTGTTACATGTACGATATAATCTGTTTGTGTGTGTTTTCATTTAAAGAATCAACTATGCGTACGCTCCATTAGAGTAATTTGCTTTAGACTTGCGCACTTTCATTTCCGCATCGTAAAATACGAGGTCGGAGACAGCGGGATAATTCTATTTTAAATATAACACTTCAGAGGTAAAACTTGACGGACTTGCAAATACAAATGAAGACCTAGAAAGACTTTGCCTAGACTAGCCAAATCAACATTTAATCACTAGGCCAGTCCATATTTCATAACGAATTCGTAAGATGGTCCAACCGTTTTCATTGCGTTAAACTTTCCAGAATTTTTTTAATTTTTTTTTGTAAGCGTGTTTATTATAAAATACCATACGTGTATTTGTCCTATTGATTATGTATATCATCCATCAATTGATTATAAGCATTGGCTATGAGTACAAATCAACGACTGCTAGTGTTATGTCCATACAGTACATTTCATACCAAATAAATGAACACGCTTAACTCGAACACTCGGATAACTCAAAGTTTTCCTACTAACCCGTCGACTTCGAGATAACGAGGTTTGACTGTATACCGCTGTATCACAATCGAGTCTCAAAGCGGTTCACAAATTATTATCTGTGGTTATAGGGCCTTCGCAACCAGCCAATACCTTTCTTAACTCCCTGGGGAGCATACAGCCGGTGCTGCCATTTGGCACTCACAGCTAGCATTCAACATTTACAGCAATGCCCAACCATGTACTCATTTACAGCTGAGTAGACTGGAACAAGCGGAGTGCCGTGCTGTGACTCGAACCCGCAACCCTTCGGTCAGGAGCCTGGCGTCCTACCACAAGACAACCGTGCTTCCGTTTTAGTAAGTAATGATTTTAACCAAAGTGTAACATTAAGTGGAACTGCACAAGTATTAATACAGCCGAGTATATTATCAGGAATGCAGTCATAATATTGGCTGTCTATGATCAGCAGGCCACGGAAACATTCTTACTGATTGACCTTAAGCTGCATATAGCCACCTATATCTTTAATAATTAAAACTGTCAAAATTATAGCATGTTTCCAGCATATGTCTGATACAATATTCATATATACACAGGTATATTTGTGCTTGTGATTATAGCAGATTACCTCCCAGGACACATGGAAATCCCATAAGGTAGCAAAACTAGGGGCACTCAGCAGGGTTTACAAAGAATTTAAACAACCATATATATATATACATTACTGTGGTGTGTTCCTTTAGGGTCAGCCACATTTAAACTAGAAGTCTTCTAGTCGGTTTATTCAAAACATTTTAAAATTGTTATCAGCAAATATCTGATTGTCACAAAATATTTATGATTTCCCTAGTATTTAAAAGCTGGTTTGTGCTACTGATTTAAATCTCCTACAGTAAAACTTTAAATTTAAATGAGATATACATCAAATATTGTAACACATTAAATTGTAACACATTAAAAGCTATGTAAAGAAGATTTGCTGAGATAATAAGTACGGCAACTTTTAAAGCAAGCATTCCTGTATTTAAAAGTCTTGTTCTACTAAACCTAAGTCACAGATTTAAAATTATCCCATTGATGGCCTCTAGCCGACATGGGGTCACCATTTTGGCACTGCGTGTACCTGTTAGATAATGAGATCTTTTTTAAAATTACCAGAAGTTTGTATCTGAGACAGTGTATACCTTCTGTGTCGTGGAGTAATGCTCGTGTACCAATATGGTGGATCCAGAACCGGTGCCTGGTAGATAATACACTCAAAACAACTGTTCATTACGTTACCACTATTGACTAATACAAGGTAAGCATGTTTTAATTTATTAATTTACACTATTACGATGTTGAAACAATGTATTTCATATTAATATATCTCCTTTTGAGCAAATGCAAAGTTTTTTGAAAATTTATTTGATTCATTGAAATATTTAAATTTATTTACCATACTGACTTAATATAAATCATGCATGATTTAACATTTTAGTTGATGATTTTTCAGCATTTGACAGGGGTGAAACATTTAATTAAAATCAATAAATATCAATTGACCACAAACAGGGAATTTTTTAGAAATAGATCATTTTACAGTATTAAAAATGTGAACCATTGCAAAAATATAAAATCATCTAATATTGATAAAATACAAGTTATGCTTGCTTAAATTTTCTAACTGGCTATTTTACAGTATTGAATCATTATAATTACAACAATCACATGACTCTGCCAATGTTATGTATAATAGCCTCATGCAATAATGCTGATGGTGATGTCAGAATTAAGACAACATGACATCACATTGAAGACAATAGACATGATATCAAGATGGCGATATGGAGGGTCACAGAAAACATGTTCGGGTTTTTTATGAATATTATGAATATTTGCATACGTTACATTGTTGATATATTGATAAGAGGAATCTTGAACTTGTTTTCATTTCTGACATGAGATTGATAACACTAAAACTTCCAGATTAATTTTTGTTAAAAATCAAATCAAATCTTGATTATATGTATTATGAAAAAATCGTCGAAAAAATAAACAATTACAAAAAAAATATAAAAAAAAATATTTAAAAAAAAATGGAAAACTTATTTAAGATCTTATGAATTACAAATATGCAACAGAATGATTTTTATTTTGTCATATGATACTTATATAGAACTATAAGCATAATTATTACAACATCATCTGCTTCAAAATGAACACAGAGCTATGAACGACAGGACCTGTGGCTAAATTTACTTAAACTCTGCTTCACGTTTATGTAAATAAACAACCTCTGTGTAGGTCTCTAGACAGATGCCATGGAATGAAGAAAGTGCCGATATTATCACTGTTTTATTTGATTTGGTTATCCACAGTTATTTTAGGGTTACGTATGGGGCTATATAATACCATATGTCAATCTTAGTCGCTGATACTCTATTGTAGATACAGTATACAGTGTATTATATTTATCAAACCATTATATAAAATGAACTTGTGTACCTAAGAGAGAGAATTTATTTACTGAATACACATCACCAGTCTACTACTGACATTACATGTATCTAGTGCTTGTATCATACAACTTTTAAAACAGTCACATCTAATGTGTTGCCTTTGACAGATGGACAGACTGATCAAAACTTTTACATCTCCTGTTAAGATTAGGACAGATGGACAGAAAGATCTAAACTGTCACATCTCCTGTTAAGATTAGGACAGATGGACAGACAGATCTAAACTGTCACATCGCCTGTTAAGGTTAGGAAAGAATAGACAGACATATATAAACTGTCACATTCCTGTTAAGATTAGGACAGATCTGTCTGTCCATCTGTCCTAACTTTAACAGAAGATGTGACAGTTTAGATCTGTCTGTCCATTTGTCCTAATCTTAACAGGAGATGAGACAGTTTAGATCTTTCTGTCCATCTGTCCTAATCTTAACAGGAAATGTGACAGTTTATATATGTCTGTCTATTCTTTCCTAACCTTAACAGGAGATGTGACAGTTTAGATATGTCTGTCTATCTGTGCTGACTTGGACAGATAGACAGACAGATCAAAACTGTCACATCTCCTGTGCTGACTTAAACAGATAGACAGACATATCTAAACTGTCACATCTCCTGTTAAGATTAGGACAGATGGACAAACATAAAAATTGCCTGTTCGCTTGTGCAGACTTGGACAGATGGACAGACAAATCATAACTGTCACATTTCTTGTGCTGACTTGGACAGATAGACAGACAGATCAAAACTGTCACATCTCCTGTGCTGACTTGGACAGATGGACAGACAGATCTAAACTGTCACATATCCTGTTAAGGTTAGGAAAGAATAGACAGACATATATAAACTGTCACATTTCCTGTTAAGATTAGTACAGATGTACAGACAGATCTAAACTGTCACATATCCTGTTAAAGTTAGGACAGATGGACAGACAGATCTAAACTGTCACATCTCCTGTTAAGGTTAGGACAGAATAGACAGACATATCTAAACTGTCACATCTCCTGTTAAGATTAGGACAGATAGACAAACATAAAAATTGCCTGTTCGCTTGTGCAGACTTGGACAGATGGACAGACAAATCATAACTGTCACATTTCTTGAGCCGACTTGGACAGATAGACAGACAGATCAAAACTGTCACATCTCCTGTGCTGACTTGGACAAATGAACAGACAGATCAAAACTGTCACACCTCCTATGTCTAAGCTACATCTCTGGTGTTGAGCTGGACAGAGGGTCAGATTGAAACTGTTCATTAATTGTTACATTTACATAGGCGATATCTGGTTATTTTGGAATCTCAACTAAGTTCTTACTTCACATCAACTGGGAAGATAAATGGAATAAGTTTGAGGTTCTTATGATAAGCTCATGTAATATACACATGTAATGTCATACCCTTTTTGTGAACAGTCACTGTTAGGGCTGGAAAAATCACTTAGAAATTTCTTTTGCCATCATTATACTTTTTCTCTTCACATTACAATATGTGACATTGCATAAAATTTATCTAACAATATTTATACAATAAAATTTGATTATAACTCAATATTCCATGACTATATTTTAGGAGCTCCCTTTCTTGGTGCAGACACTAGACGGGGACCATGAACGACGCTCAACGAGCCGTGCTCCAGAAACATCACGTGGAGATAGCACGCGACATCATCGTCACCGAGGTCTTCCTTGGAGAGTGCTTTCAAAATAGACTCTTCGACAATCACCTTATAGACATCATTAGGGTAAGTCTGTTACAAAAGTACTCAATTAGCTGTGTAAAATCTTTATTTGTTCTTTAATTTCAAATATAACAAAGGTTAAAAGATTTCAGAGGTGAAATTAAATGCATTCATTTATTTCTCTAACTAATTTTGATAAAGGAGTGAAATGGGTCATGCATGGAATAATTTTTAAATCTGATAATCCACACCATAAACTGAAAAAAATTTACAGAATGATCCTTTAAGCATTTGAACTTTTCAATTCAAAGGTGGGAATAGTTCATTATGAAATTTCAGGGGTGAATGAGCTGTGTTTTATATACTGTATACCGTGAAATTTTCGTCCAGTCAAAGTTGACAGTAAATTCTTTTTCGCAAATATTAAATTTGCCCTTCACTTTATTTACAGAATGTTTATTTTTATGTTTGAAAATTTCTTTGTGATGCACAATTACTATGTATATTATGTTGTTTAAAATGTTCGCTGCAATGTTAAATACGCCCTCATTATATATAATTACGGTGGGCAAAAAAGGTCTACAGTATAACAATTAGGAAAGGGAAAGAAAGGACAGGTAAAAAGGCGACGTATTTAGATACAGTAAAGGTAAATAGAGGACTTCAGTTTAGAATAGACCATTGACAACGAACCGAGTAAAACGTTACACAGACAATGTATAGATTTGCAAACAGTTGTGAAATTTCTCGCACACAGCAAATATCTCATTGAAATGCTATATTTAACTGTTCTAAGTTTGTCAATGTGTCAGTGTATAGTGTGAGATTACCACTGACAGGATCAACATTTAAACCACTGGGGCACGGTGTATAGATAATCTGCTCTAAATGATATTGTAACTATTGTACTGTATTATGAAGGTTGAAGTTAACGTACGTATCATGTGGTTTCTGTATTTCCACACGTTAACAAGTAACCTGATTTAATTGAACGATCGATCCAGCCTGTACCAAAATGTTTTTTGTCTAAAAAAATTGGTCTGCAGCCAGTACACTGAAATATAAACCATTTGTCGTGATAAAAAAAAAATCAAAACATTTTAAGACAAGAGGCCCATAAGGCCTGTATCGCTCACCTGGATATCTAAGCAATCATGGCAAAATATTCTCCAAATGAGATCCAAGGGAATATGCCAGACCCCAAGGCCAATCCTTGTAGCATATATATCTGTATTCGATTTTTCATGCCCAGCAATTTTATGTATGGTTATAGGGTGGGGATCTCAACTGTTTCCAAGCTGTGACTCAGAAACTAGGTCCCTATGGTTGTGGCCAGACCCCAGGACCAATTATAATATCATGACTGCATTTGTCTCTTTTTACCCAGCATTTGTATATATAGTTTTGGGGTGGGGATCTCAACTGTTTCAAAGTTATGACCCAGGGGTTAAGTCTGCAAGGGTGGGGCAAACCCTGGGGTCAATTCTAATATCATGACTGCATTCGTCTCTTTATGCCCAACAATTGTATATATAGTTTTGGGTGGGGATCTTAACCATTTCAAAGTTATGACCCAGGGGTTAAGTCTCCAAGGGTGGGGCAGTCCCCAAGGCCATCCTGGAAGCATATGTGCATTCATCTCTTTATACTCAGCAATTGTCTATATGGTTATAGGGTGGAGATCTCAACTGTTTCCAAGCTGTGACTAAGAAACTAGGTCCCTAGGGGTTCGGTCAGACCCCAGGGTCTATTCTAACATCGTGACTGCATTCATCTCTTTATGCCCAGCTTTTGTATAGTTTTGGGGTGGGGATCTCAACAGTTTTAAAGTTATGGCCCAAGGACTATGTTTCCAAGGGTGGGGCCAGACCCTAGGGCCATCCTGGAAGCAAATGTGCATTCTTCTCTTTATACTCAGCAATTGTATATGTGGTTATATGTTGGGGATCTCAACCATTTCCAAGCAATAAACTTTTTTTAGCCCCACCCCTTAGCCGGGGGGTCAGCCCCACCATTTTTACAATTTTGAATCCCTGCCTCCCATGAATGCTTCCGACCAAATATGATCGATATCCATGGCATAGTTCTACAGAAGAAGTCGTTTATAGCAATATAGCCAAATTGCCCCCTTTTGGCCCGCCCTCAGCCCCACCATTTGTACAATTTTGAAACCCCATTACCTAGGGATGCTTCCAGTCTAATATGGTTGATATCCATCACTTAGTTCCAGAGAAGAAGTTGCTTAAAGCAATATAAGCAAATAACCCTTTTTGGCCCGACCCTCAGCCCCCTGGGGGGTCAGCCCCACCATTTGTACAATTTTGAATCCCTGCATCCCATGAATGCTTTTGATTAAATATGATTGATATCCAGTGCATAGTTCTACAGAAGAAGTCGTTTGTAGAAATATAGCCAAATTACCCCTTTTTGGCCACGCCCCTCAGTCCCATGGGAGGTCAGCCCAACCATTTGTACAATTTTGAATCTCCACCACCTAGGGATGCTTCCAGTCAAATATGGTTGATATCCATCTCTTAGTTCCAGAGAAGAAGTTGCTTAAAGCAATATAGCCAAATTGCCCCCTTTTTGCCCCGCCCCTCAGCCCCCTGGGGGGTCAGCCCCACCATCTGTACAATTTTGAATCCCCACCACCTAGGGATGCTTCCAATCAAATTTAGTTAAATTCCAATCAGTGGTTAAGAAGAAGAAGTCGTTTAAAGAAATTGTTGACGGACGGACGACGGACAGACGACGGATGCCACGGTATGGCATAAGTTCACCTTGGTCCTTCGGACCCGGTGAGCTAATAATATAAACAAGATATATATTGTCTGCACTGAACAAAAGAAAGACACAAAGAGAAGTCATACAGATCTATTTGAGCTCAATAACTCCTCCGTGTTATTGATATATTTGTATAGGGTTTAGGTACACACACAGGTTGCTATACAGTGTATATCAGCTATAAATTTAATCATTTGCCACCCAGGGTCATACAACCCTGATCATTGATATAAATCAATTTGACACATCAGTGCAACGGTTAGAATTTAAATACCTTCATTGATAAAAATTCCGCCAATATGTGTAGCCAAACTGGTTGGAGTCGATTGTTGGTGACCAGGTAGCAAAATTGGTAGAGCATCCGTCTAGAATTCGAAGAATCCCAGGTTTGAATTCTGGTTGTTTCTTTGAAAGGTCATAAAATAACAATTGAGTGAGCAGCATCTCATACAGATGTGGTAGATTTTAATTGTACATAGGTCTACGGTCGCCTTCTAGCTTTGTGCTAGGGGGAACTCCCCTTTAGCTCAGTGGTAGAGCGCCCGTCTAGGAAGTCTAGGGTTGCAGGTTTGATCCCTAGTGGAAGCATACTTATATAATACTCTCTGCCTGTTACAAATGGTGTCCTTTGCCCTTCCTGTGGTGACAGAGAGCTAGATTCTTGGTTGTTGTGGTGTTCTTAATTGTACATAGGAATATGGTCACCTTTTAGCGTCACGTTAGGAATTTCCCTTTTGCTCAGTGGTTGAGCATTACACTAGGAATCTAGGTCAAGTGTGACCTTCAACTCTTTAACCTTGACCAATGACAATCAAACTCTTGTCAAGAGTAAAACTTTATGTGAGTGAACTACCTTATAGAGTTTAGCTGAATCTGTCCTGGTCTTCAACACAAGCTCCTAACTACAAACAGAAGGCTGGATACACACTAACAAGCGCTAATACTTTTTAACAGGAATAGGAATATGGTCACCTTTTAGCGTCACGTTAGGAATTTCCCTTTTGCTCAGTGGTTGAGCATTACACTAGGAATCTAGGTCAAGTGTGACCTTCAACTNAGTTTAATAGGAAAGACAGTGCTTCTAACGGGGATCAAACCAGTCATTCCAGATTTAATTTCCTAGTTGGATGCTGTACCTCCACCTTTAAATCTTCATACTGAATTTGTTGTTTACAGAATGATTCTTCACCCTCCTACAAACTACTGAATCTCCTACCCACTCGGGGTCCGGATGCCTTCGACAGATTTCTGCGGATTATTGAGCCCGAGTATCACTGGCTGGTGACCACTCTCCAGGACAGCCTGGATAAGGAGCTGTCAAAACCTTCTACCCGGCCCAGTGTAATTCTCCCCAAGCTCGACACAGCGGAAGGAGGTAAGTTTCATTTTACGCTCATGACAACTTATGGCCCCCTTTTCCTAAACCCCCTGAGTGGTCAGTCCCTTCTTGAGTATAGATTCTGATGTTAACTGTGGGCAAATTATTCCCGACAAAAAAATCATTAAAACCACTCAAAACCCCCCACAAAGTGACCAATGACCGTTGAAATCTGATCAAGTGAAAAATGTCACCATACTATGATGCTAATATAAACTTAATCTATCCAGAATGGTTCATAAAATGTCTTGTGAACAAGCTTTTGGGTACACAGATGTAGGCAGACACATTGACAAAGCCATTAATATAAACTCCCCTCTACTAAATACAGTGTATTCAGGATTAAGAACAATGTAGGAAACCACAGGATTTCTTGCTCGGGTGACCTCTTGCTCGGGTGACCTCTTGCTCCAGCTTATCACCGAAACTACAAATTGAATACCAGTTGCTGTAAAATCTTGGCAATCAATTAATAGAGCAGGCAAGGTTTTTAATCAATAAACTACTAGCCATTTCAAGAGGCTTTCGTCATACGTAGTTTGAATCTTGATGTTTAACTTTCTTGACTCCTGAAGACTTAACTCATACTAAGTTTGAATCTTGTTTTTTAACTTCCTTGACTCCTGAAGACTTTAACTCATACTAAGTTTAAATCTTGATTTTTAACTTTCTTGACTCATACTAAGTTTAAATCTTGATTTTTAATTTCTTTGACTCCTGTGACCTTGCTATTTGGTCAAGATAAATTAGCTGAAGAAAGGTTTGGCAGCCCTATTACCCATCAATTAGCACCAGGCCCAAAATAGTTACTTTGGTGCTGGAGTTGCTTTAATGTGTCATTGCCTTCACCTCATGGGAGGCTAGCTAAAACAGAAAAAAAATTATGAAGTAAAAAGCGATGGCAATTAAAGAAGATTTAAACCACAAATTTATGAGTTACTTCCCTTTGCAGGTTTTGCATCTCCAAGGCTGTTGTCATTGGGGTCGCCAACAGATGAGGAGGAGGAGATGTCCGATGTACGAAGCCGAGTCACAACTTTTATGAGCCGCAATTTTGGACTCAATAGGAAGCTTTCTCAAGCAGATAAACGTGCAATAGAACAATTTATCACGGATCAAGCAAAGATTGAATGTGTAAAACAACGGACATTGTCAGCCTCTACGGCAAATGAAGATGAGATAGAAAGCTCCGATGTTTTTGAATTGTCAGAAATTGTGAAGAAAAATCTGTTTGATTGTTACATAAAAATGAATGTGCACATGAAGGCTTTATATGTTGGAGACGATAAAGTGTTCGACGATTCTAATCCGGGTGTCACTGAATCAGCAATGACATTCAATCTAATACAGCAACAAATTGACGCTGTCCTAAATCGCTTAGAAAAGGTGGAAGATCAAATATCTCAATGTTATGACACCCTCAGCGATACTGAGAGGACCGAACCTCTGTCAAAACATATCGACAGACTGGTCATCCAGTTAATCTCAAATGAACAATTGCTGGATGACGAACGCAAAAAGACTGAAAAAATGACAGATGAATTCTACATTTTATCAATGAAATACAAGAAATTGCTTCAAAACTCACAGTTAAAAGATGTTGAACTTGAGGTCAAGAAAAATCAGGTGACAAACCTTCAACGGGAGGTAATAGCACTACAGAAGGAGGTCGACCGACTCGAAGGGGTACACAAAATTCATCTAGAGAAGGAAAAGACACTAGCAAACCTCAAAGAAATGGTTGAAGGTCTTAAAACTAGTCAACGCACCATTCAAGAAGAAAATAACACTTTAAACAAGAAACTGACAGAACAAGATTCCCGATCACCTCGGCGACAGCTTTCTAAAAATGGACGGTATACAGGAATGACTACTACTCGTGCAAGACAGCCAACAAGGACAAGAAAAATAAACAATAACCTTGGAAATTATCGTTTTAATCAACCATAGTGCAGTCTCAGATCAATCAACCATAGTGCTGACTTGGATCAATCAACCATAGTGCTGACTCAGATCATTCAACCAAAGTGCTGACTCAGATCATTCAACCATAGTGCTGACTTGGATCAATCAACCATAGTGCTGACTCAGATCAATCAACCATAGCATTGCCATAGATCAAGCAACCATAGTGCTGACTCAGATCAATCAACCATAGTGCTGACTCAGATCATTCAACCATATTACTGACTCAGATCAATCAACCATAGTGCTGACTCAGATCAATCAAACATGTTGCTGATTATTACATGAAAAAAAAAATCAACAATCTCCGCAAGTTAAAAGTTTAAAGTTGAAATTCTCCATGATCTCCGCAGTTTCAAGATTCTTGTATTTTTCACCGAAACTCTATTAAGAAATTGCAAACTTTTGTGAAAACCTGTATCCTGATGCCATCCCATTGAGGTTATGGAATTTCCACAAAATATCCAAGGAGATCCACATCTCCACAGAGAATTTTCAATTAAGCAATCAAGCATAGCATTATCACAGGTCCATAGCCCACAATTTCATTACAGATGAACCCATCCATTTAAACTCTATATTATCTTAATGAATTCATCAACTTTCCCATATTACACAGAGTTGCAAATTGACTAATCCAGAAACTTGCCTATGAAATACCTGTGATAGTGTACTATAGCTATAAGTGGTCGGGTGGCACAGTGGATTACGCACTGGCCTTTCACCTAGGTGGCCGTTGTTAGATTCCGCAATCGTGAAAAGACATGAGGGGACCTGCCTGACCATGTTGGGTTTCTCTAGGAACTCCGATTTCCTGCCACATTAAGACAAAGCGATACAAAGTGGGATTTTGTACTGTAAAACATATAAATTGATAAAACTATTATATAGTACAAAAAAAACCTCAACTTTTGATAACAATAAAATCAAACAGTGTAACATGTGTACAGTTTGTAATATGACTAACAGGGACAGCTTTCTACTAAGCTAGATTCTAAGCTGTACAATAAGCAAGACAATTTGTTTTTTTGATCATGGACATTCCCTTTATTGGTAGTACCATCCCTGCTTCCCTTACCTACAGCATTTACATATTGGATAGCTTCCCTTTACTGATAGTATCATCCCAACTTCCATTACCTACAGCATTAACATGTTGGATAGCTTCCCTTTATTGATAGTAGCATCCCTGCTTCCCTTACCTTCAGTATTAACATGTTGGATAGCTTTCCTTTATTGATAGTAGCATCCCTGCCCCCCTTACCTACAGTATTGACATGTTGGATGGCTTCCCTTTATTGATAGTATCATCCCTAATTCCCTTACCTACAGTATTAACATGTTGAATAGCTTTCCTTTATTGATAGTAGCATCCCTGCCCCCCTTACCTACAGTATTAACATGTTGGATAGCTTCCCTTTATTGATAGTAGCATCCCTGATTCCCTTACCTACAGTATTAACATGTTGAATAGCTTCCCTTAAATTGATAGTTGCATCCCTGCTTCCCTTAACTACAGTATTATCTTGTGGATAGCTTCCCTTTATTGATAGTAGCATCCCTGATCCCTTACCTTCAGTATTAACATGTTGGATAGCTTCCCTTTATTGATTGTATCATCCCTGCTTCCCTTACCTACAGTATTAACATGTTGAATAGCTCTAAATATCGTGACTTCGGTGATAGATGTTGACTTCTGATAGACAGGGGTTCCAAAGACTCAGGTTGATGAAAACCATGGAAAAGTTTTATGGTCACCATCATAGTATTAAAAGAGATTTGCTTTTTCTTTGTGCGATATGATGGTCAATGTCAATTCATTGGTCTCCATGTCAATCTTAATCTTTTGTTTGTATTTTGCCGTAGTTCAATAGCTGTTTTGTTTATGAGTTTGAATTATGGTTTTGTTAACATTTAGGTACTTTCTTGTTATTTTATTTGTAATATTTTCAGGTGTTTCGGTTTTATGTATTTCTATCATTACTATTAATCAAAAAAGCTTTTACGATGGAACTTTGTTTACTTGGAAACTGTGCCATTTCATTTTTTTTTCATTATAATTGATACAACATGCAATATTGATGCAATTGTTTCTTAAGCAATATACTTGACTCCAAAACAGATTTCTGAGGTCTTCCAATCAATTCAGGTTCCCGGGGAGGTGAAGAGTTATTAGTGACCAACGAAGTTTCATTGTATCAGCAAATACTGTATTCAAATGTGCCAAATTCACCGGATACAATCAGGATCCATCCCCAGTATGGTATCATATGGTTGAATAAATCATAACATCAAGTGATATTCCTTTGACATTATTTATTCTATGACGTATATTTGTTTTCTCTGTGATTACACTTGTTACATGCTATAAGCATCACACAACAGATATCTGTCTGGTTTTCATTACTTTTATCATCATTTTCTTTTTTAATTAAAATTATTTATAATTCTGTAATTTTCTCTGTTCTTATTTCCATCTGGTTGTTGCTATAATCAAAGAGTATCGTTTTTTGGTCAATGGTATGAAAGACAACTTAATTTGCAGTTTTTAAACTTGACAATTTTACTAGACCTGACTTAAATTGACAACAACATGACCTAAAATGTAATTGCTGAATTGGTAAAAAAAAACTTGAACAAGATACTTCAATGACAACATGATACAAATATTGAATGATTAAATGACTTTTAAAACTACTGAGTTTACAACTGACCAAGTGACTGAATTGACATCAACAGATCAAGTGAATGAATTGACATCAACAGATCAAGTGAATGAATTAACAAAAGTGACTGAATTAACAACAATTGATCAAGTGACTAAATTGACAAAAGTGACTGAATTGACAACAATTGATCAAGTGACTAAACTGACAACAACTGACCAAGTAACTAAATTGACAACAACAGATTGAGTGACTGAAATGACAACAAAAATCAATCTACTGAAATGACAACGATTGATCAAGTGACTCAGAATTAACTACAAATGAGCAAGTATCTGAATTGACAATAATTGATCATGTGACTGAAATGAAAACAAGTGTTCAAGTAACTGATTAGACAACAACTGACCAAGTGACTGAATTGACAACAATTGATCAAGTGACTGAATTGACAATTCTTGACTAAGTGACTGAATTGACAACAACTGACCAGGTAACTGAATTCTCAACAACTGACCAAGTAACTGAATTGATAACAACTGACCAAGTGACTGAATTGACAATACCTGACCAGGTGACTGAATTGAAAACAACTGACCAAGTGAATGAATTGACAACTGACCAAGTGACTTGAATTGACAACAAGTGTTCAAGTAACTGAATTGACAACAACTGACCAAGTGACTGAATTGACAACAACTGACCAAGTGACTGAATTGACAACAATTGATCAAGTGACTGAATTGACAATTCTTGACTAAGTGACTGAATTGACAACAACTGACCAAGTAACTGATTCACAACAACTGACCAAGTAACTGAATTGATAACAACTGACCAAGTGACTGAATTGACAATACCTGACCAGGTGACTGAATTGAAAACAACTGATCAAGTGACTGAATTGACAACAACTGACCAAGTGACTGAATTGACAACTGACCATATGACTGAATTGACAACAACTGACCAAGTGACTGAATTGACATCAACAGATTGAGTGACTGAAATGACAACAAAAACAAATCTACTGAAATGACAACAATTGACCAAGTGACTGAATTGACAACAACTGACCAAGTAACTGAATTGACAATACCTGACCAGGTGACTGAATTGAAAACAACTGACCAAGTGAATGAATTGACAACAACTGACCAAGTGACTTGAATTGACAATAAGTGTTCAAGTAACTGAATTGACAACAACTGACCAAGTGACTGAATTGACAATACCTGACTAGGTGACTGAATTGACAACAACTGACCAAGTGACTGAATTGACAATACCTGACCAGGTGACTGAATTGACAACAAGTGTTCAAGTGACTGAATTGACAACAATTGACCAAGTGACTGAATTGACAACAACTGACCAAGTGACTGAATAAACAAATAACAACTTAGACTAGAAATCTAAGTTATCTGGTTGCTGGTAATGGACCCAATTGAGAAACATCATACTGAACCACCCACCAATCTATCTCAACTGCAGTGCGTATACAATCTGTCAATTTACTTACGATAATGACATCACTTCCCTCACATCAAACACACAATGAACAGGTACTACGCCATGTCAGATAATTCCTGGCTGCATAAAAGCACTGCTAATTGCAGATAACAATTGTAATTGTACGTTAGTTGTAGGTTTATTGTCAATATAAGTTATTGCAGGTATTCTAATTACCGCCAATACATCTCACTCAATGACAGAATATTGAAAAGGAATTTACGCAAACTTTGAAACCATTGTTTAACTCTGTGCATGATGGAGGCTTCATTATAACACCAGATATACTATACCAATCAATAATAACAGCAAAACACAGTAATCCTATACTAATCTCCTGTTTGAAATGGCAATCAATAGCTTTTACATGATAAGTTAAATCCCTAATATGGTGCATTTCATATCCACTAACAATAAAATCTATAAGAGATATGGTTAACTGTAGATTATGCCTTTAATACAGTATGAATAAAGGTAAAAAACACATGAGTTTGATATGTAAATCAGATCCGACGTGTATAATACCCTTCATTGTATGGTAAAGGTAGTGTTTTTGTCCGACAAGCACATGTGTGTTAGATATAGATCTACCTATATATACAGGTATAGAAGCAGTACCCACTTGTAATGAAGGCTTTAGAAGGAGGACAACATGTAAAACAATACTGTGATCATCAATAACAATGGAAAGCATGGGGAGACAACTCTAGCCTTTTGTAAAGGACCAAACCTTACTCAGAATAATAATTCTAGGTAAGTTACAAGAACGTACACAGCGACTGAGGTAGAGATTCCTGGTGGTTTTGAGGTAAGTAAATGAATCATTATTCCTATGAAGAGCTGAATGATATTTCTATCATTAACACTAAAGAGCCTAAAACAACATGTAAAAACATTTGTAACAGGCAAGAGAATAATGTGCTTCCACCAGGGATCGAACCCTCAATCTCCAGGTTCCTAGTCGGACGCTCTACCACTGAGCTAATGGGAAATTCCCTCTAGCTCCAAGCTAGAAGGCGACCTTAATCCTATATACAATTAAAACCTGCAACACTACTCCCCCCTTTTAAAATGTGTTCGCCCTCAAACACCACAACCCAGGTTCTAACTCCCTGTCACCACAGAGAGGGCCACGGACACTATATATTTGTAACAAGAAATAGTTTGATTTGGTTTGGTTTATTATTGTTTAACCTCCTATTAACAGCTATAATGTACCCACTTGTATAAACCATCTCAAAGTTAAGGAAAATCTCAAGCAATGTATTGTCTATGGGAAATATTAGACTTGAGGAAATCTCAAGAATTGAGATGTTTTATACAAGTGCACCATGGTCTTTTAAGGACGGCCTCCCCTGTGTGCAGGATGCATGCGTGTAGTGTATGTGTGTGTTTTGGGAGGCTGCAATATGNTACTACCGAGTAGTTCGATTATCCAGCAGACGATTGTGAAAACAACTTACTCACCTTACGATATACTTACATTCGTTTCCACCGGATGTATAGCGACACCTCGCGTCAGCTCACTTCCAAAGCACAACGTTGCAATAAGAGTTATTCCCCTTTGTACGACCCAAGCTAAAAATTGCCGATTTATGGCTTCGCGTGGGATAGAGGGAGAATATTTTTGAATGCGTGAGATTTATACCTCACGTGGCGTGAGGATTGTTTCAGCGTGAGTAAGGACGTTTNCCATAGTTGTTCTACAGTACTGCTGTATAGAAACCACCATGTCATTAGATACAGAAGAACCGTATACCCTAAATTATACTGATCTTGTGTGAATATTCTTTCTAAAGTTTACAGCATCCACACAGGAAATTCCTTCTGTGATCATGATATTCTATTTTGGTAACATTGACCTATTTGCAAATTGTTCCCAAAACCAGCAGGGTTTTGGCTCCCCCCTGAACCAGCAGGTTTTGGCTCCCCCCTGAACCAGCAGGGTTTTGGCTCCCCCCAAAACCAGCAGGGTTTTGGCTCCCTAGTGAGTAAACCTACATAAACTTTGAGCTTCAAGCAATAATTCGTTCTGACCTTCACTTAGGTATTGGACAAGGTATTGGACAAGATAATTGTATTTTATGTAACACTGTGTAGTTCACCTTTGACAAGCAATAATTCTTTCTGACCTTCACTTAGGTTTTGGACAAGATAATCGCATTTTTTGTAACACTGTGTAGTTGACCTTCACCAAGCAATAATTCATTCTGACGTTCACTTAGGTTTTGGACAAGATAATTGTATTTTTTGTAACACAGTGTAGTTGACCTTCGACAAGCAATAATTCATTCTGAGGTTCACTTAGGATTTGGACAAGATAATTGTGTTTTTTGTAACACTGTGTAGTTGACCTTCGACAAGCAATAATTCATTCTGACCTTCACTTAGGATTTGGACAAGATAATCACTCTTTATGTAAGTGTCCTTGACCTTCGATAAACCATTTCCTAAATCAACAAGCTCCTTCTCCCTGTTTTTTACTTTATGTAATTAAGATTTCTGAGCTTTAACATCGAGAAAAGTAATGTTTGTAAAGTTCTATTAAATAGTAACAGATGCTAATATACTTTTCAAGAGAATCACAACAAAAATGTATAGGGGTGCCCTTCCCTGACTATGTCAGATATATGGGACACACTGTACATGTCTTGTACAGAAATCAATAGATATCATACATATCTAGTCCTATTCTGTCTCCGTCTTGTCTCTTTATTTCTAATAATAATTACAGTAATCAAATCTCAATTCGTGTTTTTGAAATGCAAAAATTCAAATTACAGTTAAACTCTTGAATGTATAATTATCTTAATAGTTTAAGGCGGATCCTATTTGAAAGTTAAATGTATATGACAATTTAGATAGAACTTTCTATAGAATTATAATGACAGAAAACCTATACTTGTATGTCAGGAAACTTAACACTGAGCATGTTAAACTTTTTATCTACTAACAAATTACACTTCATAATTAAGCTTTCAAAATCAAGGATATCTGTATTACAAAAACATAATGGATTTAAAGGAAATCACTCGACACCAGACCTCAATGGAGGGAAGTCATTTTACTTAAAACAGGGCCAAGTTTCTCAAAAGCCTGATATGACTTAACAATTATCACTTACACAAAATTTCAAAGAATGGATTTAATTTTTTCTGCCTTTCAATGATCATTTTGGATCACTCTATACCCATATTTTTGGTGAATTACAATGTTTTTTGAAGAAGTACAAGATGAGAATTTTGCATTAACAAATGGTAAAGATAATTCAGACTTAGAAAAACTTCATTCGGATATTGGTATTTAACTCATTCACCCCTCAATTTCATAATGAACTTTTCCAAACTTTGAATTGGAAGAGTTCAAATGTGTTTTCAGGGGTAAATGAGTTGATGCTTCATTTCCTTGATCACACATTACCGTATTAATCCTGCAATAAGCCCTGTGGTCGTTCTGAAATGTAGGATCAAACGATATGGATGGGCTTTGTTGAAGGGATATGGAGAAAATAAATTTGAGGCCCTTGAAAATGATGTCCATGTTGATAAAAGTTATTAAAACTGAAAATAAATAAAAATAATAAATTAAATGTCGTACGACTCCTAATGATATTAAGTAATTGCTCGGATACTTACACTTTTAAATAATGATAGGATTAAAGTTTCAAAAACCTTAATTTGAACATTTGATTGTAAGAATATTTTTAGATTTCAGCGATAGATTATCATCATTATAACTAATAAGCAATGGCATTCGAAATTCAGATTTGTTCATCAAAACCATTCTTAGTATATCAAAAACATATCAAAGATAAATTAAAACTATTAAAGAGAAATGTGGATATGTCACTTTAATTTAATTTACCTGATTCATACACAATTGGTCGTACGTAACCTTTTCTCCACAGAGTAATTAAAAAGATTGCTTCCTACTAACAGCATGTCTGAATGGATAAGATCAGACTGAGATGATTCGTCTTGTGTATATATATAATATTATACATTTGATTTGGAACTTAAGTACCAATTACAACATTTATCTATTTCAGCATAGGATTGTTGAGACTCCATGTGTGGAAGACGATAAGGACAGTAGTTTTCGACCAATGTGGAAACAGAAGTGGATACTATCTCGCATGAAAAGGAATTTTTGTAACTCTTTATGAACCAATTTACTGATTGTTTCCAGTTATTTCTAGAACTTTTCTCAGAATTTTTACCGAGATTTTACATCTGATTTTCTCAATCACAGGACGTCCGATGACAATACATTGTGTAAAATTTATAAATCCAATACAATGGTGGAATGTGGACAGTATATGAATCCTATTGATATACGCGTACAACACACAAAAACTGACACACTGTCTTCTAGATCATCGTCTAAACTATATAACCTTGTAAGGTGAAAGTAGTACATTTTGACCAGTCTCTGACTTTTGCCCCGCCACAACTTCTGTAACCCGATGCGTCTACTGGAGATGGACTCACAGGAGAAAGCTACGTTACAAAACTGTAGGAACTGTTTGATAGAAGATCTGGATCCTACAAAGTGCTTCCTGGCCCAGCTTCACTACAGCAACATCCTGACCGAGGATCAGAGGGACAGGGTAGATGTGAGTATAGTCTGAGTGTAGGGGTTGGAGGGCAAGGGAGGGGTAGGAGATATATGGGATGGGCAGGGGGGCAGGGGGCAGAAGACCAGAAAGGGACAGGTAGGGCACAGAGATCCAGGCAGGTTCTCCCTAGTCAAGCTTCACTTCAGTCACAATCCTAGCTGTTAAATATGCCTATCTCCCCCATAATGTTTTTGGTATATATATCGTATATACCTAAAAAGAAACACAACTGATGATGGAACTACTTTTTACACTTCAGAATGCAAAATTAAAACGCAGCTTTTTTTAGCACAATTGTCTAGTTTACGTAGAAATTAAATAAATCAGTAACTGTGCATTTACAACGTGTTTGTCTACTTTTTAAAAATTAAATAATAAAGAATGCCCAAGATTTTATTTTGGTATATACTTTTGATATACCAAAAAAACTAATTGTGCACTTTTTTGCATAAACCGCTTTGTGGATTTATGCAAAGTGCACATTTTTTCCCCTGTATATACTGTATATAACATAACAAAATCGTGGTCATTCCTTAAATATATTTTTTGTTTCCGGTAACCCTATTATAACCTACCCTAATTTGTTTTGCCTACCCTAAACTTTTTAAGGCTATTTTCAAAGAAGCACTGTTAAAGTCAAGATCACTCTTCTACATAAACCATATCAAATTAAAAATAACATTTGTTAAATACCTACCTACTCTAAATATTTCCAACATGTTACAGGAAAACACAAACATTTTTTTGTCAGGCCTTATCACAAAGACCATATTAGAAGTCCACAGCAGTGTTGAATGGGTAGGGTAAATCTAACTATAACTAGTCCACAGGGACAGCAGTGTAAGGGAGCATGGGAAGGGTAAATCTTGTAAATCTTTTCAATTAAATGGACATTTTGAAAAAAGAAAACTGTATATAAATACTACAGACAGAGAATGATAATGGGGATGATCCACCACAATAAGGATGCCAGTTGTCCCACTGCAGACAAAACACTAGAGAATTCCACTGTTCTTACTCTAAGTTCCCTTAATTTGGTGTAAGATACAAACTTAGTTCCACTGGGTCAGGACACATCCATTGACCAGATAGCACTGTTGGTTAGAGCGACAGTATAATGATGTGAGGTCTAGGGTTCAAATCCTGGTCTGGCCAGAATATTTTGCATTTTTACTCTCAGAACCCTGTTGTTGACTCTTCTTTTGTTAATTTCATCTTGAACATTTTTTTCATAAATTAGTCCCATATTTTCTTTTCAGAACTGATTTATCAAAACTTTAGTACATCACATGATAATTACTAGGATAGCTATTGGATAACTACCCTTGCTCTATTTGGTATAGTTAGCATCCGCCCTTGACGACGGGAACTATACCTTTTTTTTGGACCGCTGAGACTGCGGGAAAAGTAGCGTGACGCCAAGAGTTGCGCCCCTTCTCCTAGGGGGCGCTGTACATATTCTACTTTCAGTTCATTGTTGTCGTCTGCCAAAATGGTTTTGAGATTCGGGACGGGAATGCTGATTGCTTTGCAGAGGCTCAGCAATGTATGAAAACGAAGCAGGCGACACAATTTGCAGTCACAGTTAGTACAGTCATGTGATGTACTAAATCTATTATGACCCTTTCCCTCGGGAACAGTTCTCTTATAGTGTTGTCTGGGGAGGTATAGTGCCCTCCCCAGACAACACTATAAGAGAACAGTTCCCTCGGGAAAGGGCCATAATAGAATAATAGTCATCCTGGGGAGAAAAAAAAAATGGAGGATACTAAAACAGTTACGGAAGATTTATAATTGGTTGGAGGATACCAAAACAGATATGGAAGGTTTATAATTGGTTGGGGATACTAAAACAGTAAGGGAAGGTTTATAATTGGTTGGAGGGTACCAAAACAGAAAGGGGAGGTTAATAATTGGTTGTAGGATACCAAAACAGTTAGGAAAGGTTAATGATTGGTTGGAGGATACCAAAACAGATAGGGAAGGTTTATATTTGGTTGGGGGATACTAAAACAGAAAGGGAAGGTTTATAATTGGTTGTAGGATACCAAAACAGTTAGGAAAGGTTAATGATTGGTTGGAGGATACCAAAACAGAAAGGGAAGGTTTATTATTGGTTGTAGGATACCAAAACAGTTAGGAAAGGTTAATGATTGGTAGCAGGATACCAAAACAGTAAGGGAAGGTTTATGATTGGTTGGAGGATACCAAAACAGTAAGGGAAGGTTTATGATTGGTTGGAGGATACCAAAACAGTAAGAGAAGGTTTATAATTGGTTGGAGGGTACCAAAACAGTAAAGGAAGGTTTATAATTGGTTGGAGGGCACTAAAACAGCAAGGGAAGGTTTATAATTGGGTGGGAGGATACCAAAACAGTAAGGGAAGGTTTAAAATTGGTTGGAGGGTACCAAAACAGTAAGGGAAGGTTTATAATTGGTTGGAGGGTACCAAAACAGTAAAGGAAGGTTTATTATTGGTTGAAGGATACTAAAATTGATAGGAAAGGTTCAGAATAGGTTGGTGGGTACTATAAAACAAGTAGAATCCAGTTTGTATTCCACCACTATCGTTCGACATTAAATCTGATTGTGTTGGGGTTATTTTTAGAAGCAAATGACTCGACAGGACAAGGTCGTGACCTTGATGGAGATCCTACCCCGTCGTGGACCTCGTGCATTCCGCCAGTTTGTACAGGTCCTCAAAACTGACTACAATTGGATCAGTGAAAAGATGGAGGCAGAACTCAACATACAGGAATGTAAGTTAATTGTAACTTTCTAGAGATAGAGGAAATCCTTTTACCATAGACAGGTGTAATCCACACTTTTCATCAATGTTACGTCAACCCTGTATTTGGCCTGTAAGGTTAAAAGTACATTAATGTATATATGATACACAATGAGTGAACAGGGTAGGGGTAAAAGAATCATTCACCCCCTTGGGATGAGATTGGGAATTTCAACCCTCCAGGAAAGCCTTGTGTTTAGCAAGTTAAGAATCTTCCTCCTCGTGTTGAGATTCCGCTATCTCACCCTCAAGGGGGTGAGGTATTCTATTAATCTCACAGATACCCACAATTATAAATTCCTGCCATGGAAACTTGTTCTTTATTAAAAGCTATAAGTGAAGGATAAATCTCTATACATTCTGGCAAAGATTCTAACTATTCTCATGGAGTGCTTTCAGGTATTTTTCATTAAAGGTCTATACCTACAAATGTATACCTTTATGGAAACTAATAGAAACAAGCTGGATTTACATTTTTAACATTATAGCTTTATCATGCTATTGACATGCTTTATTTCATAATGTCTGTTGATGGAGAAATATTTTTTATTTTCAGACACTCAGCGAATCCGAAATGCTGTTGAGGAGAGGATGAGATTAAACGGGGAAATTCTCCGTGACAAAGACTACATACTGAAGGTGTTATCAGAAACTATTGTTCCTATTGTGCTTCAAGAAGTGTCCTATATTTCTCCTACAGAGGGCCCCTCCGAGGCTCTGGACCAACCTCTCAAAGACCTTATATCTGACCACCTGATACCTCTGATAAAGGGGCCAAACAGGGGAAAACTCAAACTTGACTCCCTCCACTATGAAACTCTTCTGACAAAAATCTCAGACTTGCTAGGTGAATTGGCCAAGCGGTGTCGGACCTCTCTTGGGTTAGATAGCGAAGACGAAGCATACAAGGAGTATTCTATACCACAGCTGATAGAGAAACGACTCACAGATATGAAAGTTGAAATACTTGCCATGAAAAAGGAAACAAAGAAAGTGAAAAAGGTTGAAGAAAAATTGACAGCAGAAAATCAAAAGTATAAAACCGAAACGAAAAACTTCAAAGATGAGGTGAAAAGATTAAAATCAGATAACCAAACGTGTCGTCAAGAATGCAAAAAACTAAAAGATGACTTAAAGAAATCTAAAACTGAAAGTGAAAAGTTGCGACTGGAAGTGAACAATTTAAAAGAACTGTTAGACAGTAATGGTATTGATTTGAGAATATCATCAGAATTTCTATATACATAAAAATGTAGGTTTGGCTAAATTTAAAGAAGGCACAATGCAAGTCAACACATTTCATAGCCAGGGGATGAAATACAACCTTAATTGGGAATGTGGAGTAGGAAATAAAAGCTAGCTAGCTGGGAAACACACAAAGTCTATAAGTAAAGCATCAATATTTCATACTTTCAGCAAGGATAACTTGTGAAAAATAAAATAAAAAAATAAAAAGTAACACTTTCTTTTCAAATTAGTTTGTAAGTTTGATTGAAATATGTCTTCGGTAGGCCCACTCTTAAACAATTTAGAATTTCAGTGCTTAGGCTACCAGAAGTCAATATATGTTCAGAAAATGACATTAGACTTCTGAGAAATAGCGACAACAATATAACTTCCAGTATGGCAGGTACAGGGTAAGGACGCACGAGACCGACTCCTGTGTTATTTTTTAAGCTATAGCCACATAACCGTGTCCTCTAACCTTTTGAAGACCTGAACAGGAGACAACAGTGAGTGTTTCATCAATGCTGTGACTGTGAAAATTTTAAATGAAATTTCTCCATCAGTTTTACAAAATCTTGTTGAGAGGAAAGAAGTTTTTTTACAGCCTGAGACAAGATAACCTTGTAAAGATTCCAAAGGTGAACACCTCCACATATGGTAAGAGATCTTTCCGATTTGCTGCTTCCCAGGTGTGGAACAGCCTACCAAATGAACTTTGATTAGCTGAAAACTATAAGTCGTTTCGTGGGCTGCTCCGCACCTGGAACAAAAATGTCTGCTCATGTGCTATTTGCACACACCATATAGTGTGAGTTGTCCCCCTTTGGAATCTACCTACATGTTTTATACTACAACTATTTCACTGCTGCTTGTGTTATTTAATTTAATATACTTCAGTAAATAATATACTTATTATATAATTGATATTTATTTTAGATTTGAGCTTCATTATTTAAAAGATCATTACTTTTTTACAATATCATAATTATAGCTCTGTTTCTATTTATGACTTCATTGTCTCTTTTTAATTCACACTATATTAGTGTATATCCTGGAAATTTTTACGCTTTGCTACATAAGCATATATGTACATTACACTAGTATAGTGTCTTAACTTGTCTTTTGTAACACTTGTGTGACATTCAAGTGTGATATCATATGCTCTACTGTATAATTTTATCATATCTAATTTAAATTGTTGTCCTGTTTTTATATTTATTCATAAGTACAATTGTACTTGTTAAATTTTATATATGTTTTGTCGCAAGAATAGCACTACAGTGCTAATGTTATTATGTTACATGTATATGCGACATTAAATAAAGCTTCTTGAATCTTGAATCTTGAAAAGTTTTGAATATACTATTCCATGAAAAGGAACGAGGGACGTGGAAATTCAACAATGCATTGCTGCATGATAGAAATTATATTGAAAATGGTAAAAGTGTAATAAACCAAGTTCTTAATGATTATGCAATCGATGAAATAATAACAATTTTGACAATGCAAGTTTTTCAGTAAATGATCAACTCCTGTGGGAAGTTATCAAATTGACTATAAGGGGAAAAACTATGGCATATGCAAGTTGGAAAAATCAGACAAAGAAAGAAAAACTTTGGAAATTGGAATCAGAAATTTTGAAATTACAAACCGACCCGTTGATTTTTGAAAATCAAGTAACCTTAAATATTTTGGAAGCAATAGAATTGGAACTATATAATTTCAGGGAAGAACAAATACGGGGACTAATGATCAGAGCAAAGGCTAGGTGGAATATGGAAGGGGAAAAGTGCACAAAATGTTTTTGTCATTTAAAAAAAAAGAAATTATACTGAAAAACCGATTCCAAAATTAGTTCGCAATGATGGTTCCGAAATTACTAATACTAAAAACATCTAAGAAGAACAGAGATTGTTTTACAAAAACCTCTATAACTCCACTAATCCAAATATAACTGATGATCAAAAGAACACTTTTTTTTTTGTAATGATAATCCATTTATTAGTAAACTTTCAGACGAAGAAAAAGGTCTTTGTGAAAGTGAAGTCACTGAATCAGAATGTGCAAAAGCTCTCTTTAAAATGAAGAACTCTTAAATCTCCGGGTCTGGATGACTTGACAGTTGAATTTTACAAGGTTTTTTGGAAAAAATTTAAAACGTTTTCTTATTAATTAAATTACTTATAGTTTCGAAAATAAACAATTATCAATTACTCAAAAATAGGGAGTAATAACCTGCTTACCAAAACCAAACAAAGCAAAAGAATTTTTAAAGAACTAGCCCCAAATTTCGCTATTGAATGTAGATTATAAAATTATTACCAGTGTATTGGAAAACAGATCAAAATCAGTTTTAAACTAGTAATAATTGTAACGGATGGCCGTTACAGATTAGTCCCCCAAACAACCCCTGTTGGCAAAATCAGACAACAGCTATAATTCGACCAATCAGAGGACTCCATTTTGTTACCATGGCAACTGAGCTGTTCGAAACTGTTACCATTGTGTTTGGTATCCCTTAAAACCCCTATTTACCAATTCTGGGCAGAATCAGACAACATCTAAATTTCGACCAATCAGAGGCCTCCATTTCGTTATGATGGCAACTAAATCTTTCGTAACTGTTACCATCGTGTTTTGCATCCCTCAAAACCCTTATGTACCAATGCTAGGCAGAATCAGACAACATCTAAATTTTGACCAATCATAGGCCTCCATTTCGTTACCATTGCAACTGAACTTTTCGAAACTGTTACCATTGTGTTCGAAATCCCTGAAAACCCCTATGTACCAATTTTGGGCAGAATCAGACAACAGCTAAATTTCCACCAGTCAGAGGCCTCCATTTTCGACCAATCAGAGGTCTCCATTTCGTTACCATGACAACTGAGCTGTTCGAAACTGTTTCCATTGTTTTCGGCAGCCCTGAAACCCTTATGTACCAATTTTCAACGAAATCCAAGCCAAAAACTCCAAAAACGGAAGTAAGGTTCTGGCGGCCATCTTGGACATCCGGTCGAGATGGTTTGGGGGACTTAATAACATCATCAGCGACACACAAAAGGGTTTTCTTAAAGAAAGATACATAGGCGAATGCACAAGAATTATTTATGATTTAATCCAGAAAACAGATCAGAAAGATATAGCTGGAATATTACTTTTAATCGATTTTGAAAAGGCCTTTGATACGTTGGAATGGGATTTTCTCGATAGAACTTTAGACTTCTTTGGTTTTGGTAGCAGTTTTAAAACATGGATAAAACTTTTTTATAATAATGTCACTAGTTGCGTAATGAATAACAAATTTTGCTCATTTTTTTTCCCGATAAAAAGAGGTGTGCGTCAGGGTGACCCTCTGTCGCCATATTTGTTTATCATGGTAGTAGAAATACTAAGTGCTACATTAAAATTTTCTCCAGATATTAATGGCATTAAAATAGGTGAAACAGAAATTCCTGCGAGTCAGTATGCGGACGATTCTACTATCAGTCTTGAAGATGATGATACTTCATTGAAAACAACTTTAGATATTTTTGATTCATTTGGCAAATGTTCTGGTCTTAGAGCAAACTATGATAAAACGGAGGCAATATGGCTCGGTAGGAAAAAGGGTAGCCACGAAAAAGTATGTGCTGAAAGAGGATTAAAATGGAATTTTACTGGAAAATTTAAACTCCTTGGTATCAAGTACGACCTCAGTAAAACTGATA